CTCTCCTGTTAGCCTGATTCTGGCTGCATCATCAAAATCAAGTGTCTGAATTTGAATATTACAGAGTTTTTTGGGGTTTTTGGTTTTTTTCTACAGCCCTCTTTTACTTCACTAAAAAAAAAAAAAAAAACAGATCCTAAACTATAAGAACAAAGCACAGAAGGTCCTCATTTCTCAAGGGTAATTGTTATCTCGCCTCCCACAGGCCACTTACAGGAATCCATTTAAAATGGGGGTCAAAATTTCATATTAGTGACCAAAAGGTCTGAAGCTTTACCTTGAAATTAAAATTATGGAAAACGAAATTTTTATTTAAAATATTTACTTAAAAAATTACTTACAAAACCATTCAGCTACAATCATGTGTTCTTTCTAGGAAACAAATGCTGTAGCAGCAAGATGGGCTCCACTTTACCCCACTCTGACTTCTAGGGCCTAAGCATTCAGAAAGCAGAAATATTCAAAGCCTCCATCTTCCCAAAGGATGCTGCCCAGCCTGTTTGATATTCCAATCCTCCTTTCCCAGAGCATCTGTCCTGCCCTCACCCTTCCTTTCTTCCTCCTCAGCAGCCCCTTCCCTGAGTACCAGCTGTCCTAACTTCATCCAATCTCCTTTATCAATGAACAAGCATAACTTTCTTCAATTTCGTCACAGCCAACCTCTTGCACCAGATTTTCAATTTCACTTTTCAGACAGAATGGCACTAGTACAATGGGCAGGAATGAGTGACACTATTATTAGGTAGGGAGGGGTGTTTGAGCTCATTTCATAAATGGTAAGTGCACAATGTGATCATTCTTGCTTCCTTCTACTACCTTATACTTTTGGAGTCTTAGAGAATGAACACTCAGAAAACAAGGCCCACATGTGACACCACCATCTTTTGAGGCAGATTTTGCAATAACTCCTTCCGACATCCATGATGCCTATGGGACAAGACTGGAGTTAGAGAAAACTATAGTGATGATGGCTGTGGTTTGAGGCAGGCCCTGCTGGGCTCTCGCCTGTGCCCTCCCACTTGGTCCCCCTAAGGGAACCAAGATCTACTAAGGGAAAGGTCACACTGGATCTACTTTAGCTAGTGCCAAGTCAGGCTGGAGCCACACAGATAAGAAGGATCCTTGCTGCTCCTCCAGGGTCTGACTCCCTCAGGAGAACAGAGAAAAGAGAACACACATGGAATTAGAAAAAACCCATGCCCAGGACACTGAGTGTGTGGCCACCTATGTCCTATGAATGGCATCGACTGGTTTCTCACAAACTTTGCGCGAACAACAGAATTTTTTTTTGGAGGAATAGAAACTGTCAAAAATTAAACAGTCCGAACCTGCAGAGAGATTACTACTTATGACTGCTGTACTGAAAGCATGCCTGAGAGGACACCCTTCAAGGGTTGGTCAAGCCCCCAACTGAAGCCTGGTCAGAGCCCAGAACTAAAGGGGTCTGCCAAGGGGCTGGGGCACTTCCCTTGTTTCATTATGCCCTTCCTGGGGCTTTACAGGGTACCAGTAAGGATGTGGCCAAGTATCTGAGGTCCACGTTCCCACTCTCACTTGTGTAGGACTTTTATCTTTAAACTGATGTGGTACGAAGTAACAAAGCACTCCTGGGTCAGAAGGTGAGGGCATGTGAACACTGGCAGCAACCTGATACCAGGATACACAGGCCCACAAGTCGGCCCACACACCTGCCCACATCCCTATGTCAGAAATCCAGGTAGAAAGCACATCTCACACTGTCCACATTGTTCTCCAAAGTGTGAGAGCTCAACCAAAAGCTGACATAAGAACCAGAGCCAATGGCAGCTCCAGAACAAGCATTTCCCCTTCATTACTCCGAAGGTTCTTGCACTGATCCCTCTTCTCTTGCCTATGTTTTTATCTCAGTCAAGGATGAAAGCAGAATGAGAAGCCCACAAAGCCAGGTCACCAGGCAAGGTTTCCAAGAGCAGAAATCTCCTCTCCAGAAAAGAACAAACAGTGCAGCTGCTACATGGACCACCACACAAAGACCCAACTGAGTTCAGTTGACGCTACTCAAATTCTCACCGTACCAGGCAACTGCTTATCCTCTCTTGAGGACTGCAGGTGCTGTCTTTCTAGAAATGCCTGTCCTAAGACAATACAGTAAGTCTGAGCAGCTTCTCATTAAGAAGGTCCTTTTCTACTGACCAGGCCAGAGGCTCTCTTGTCCCAGCTCTTTCCCTTTCTAAGGCACATGTAAACAGTTTTTGGTGGATTTCCCATCACTCTGGGTAAGCTAACAGCCAGGAGCAAGTTCCAGACAGAGCTATTTCTTGATATCAAAAGGTTAGTTCCCTTAAGCCCAGGGGGCCCCACATTAACAATCATCAGTCACCTTCTTCCTTTAATCATAGGCACAGCTCAACCACTACTCTGGTTTACTTTTCCTCCTTCCTGTTCCCTCTGAAAGGGCAGTCTGATGGAAGGATGGAGAGTACCAAACCAGAGGGCAACCTGCCCCTCCACGCACATGGCAGGAAATCCTAGCAACCTCTCCTCTAAGCAGAGACAGCAGGAAGTGGACACAGAGGTCAGCACTGGGGGCAGTATACCAGGCTTCAGCCCCACCCTGAGACAGGGAAGAAAGGGTAGTGAGCAAAAGAGAAAAAGAAGTAAAGCATTAACATGAGCATTACTTCAAAAGCCCCTACTAGACGGGTTAAAATGAGCAGACCTCCTGGCTGCTTCAGTATCCACTCTTAGCTCTATCCCACATGGCCTGAGCTGAGATCTAACAGGAAAGCAAAGGCTGGTGGGTGGGATGCTGGCAGAGAGCAGGAGCAGACCGGGGCAGGGTCCGGAGCAACAGTACTGAGAATTCCAGGCTGTAGTCTCTAACCAAAGGACAATGGGAATGGTGCCATCACAGGGTTCCAAGGAGGTAGGACCTGATCAAACCTGCTAGCGGGAGATCACTGCATTAGCAGTGCTGGGAAAGGCCCAGAGTGGGCAAGAGTGCATGCAATACAATCACCTGGGGCTACCTGAGCAATCTGCACTAGAAGTAACAACAGTCTGCATAAGGATGAGGAGAATGAGATACAGACAGATTAAACAGGACAATGATGAAACACTGGACAAAAGAAGGAATAATGGGCACGAGATCTGCATACAGGACCAACGGTGCTCATGGGCGCTAGGCAGGGGCACTCTCAGAAGAGGGCCAGGTTTTGGAGTCAGGATCATAAGACTATGTCTCATGTCAACCCATGCCCTAGATTCTTGCAAAGCACCTCGCATATAGTGGGCTCATTCATTAAGAAAAGTAACAGCAAGATACGTACTGAGGCTTACCAACTAGAAACCTACAGGTGAGGAAAGAGCATCCAGAGCCCCACTGATTTGCACAAGGGCATGATGCTGCCACTACTAGAAGCTCACAAAGGAAAGTGGGACTCCCAGATGTCTGGGCCCAAAAATGTTCACCAGTGAAGACCACGTATCTTTCTATTTCCTAGTACTAAAACACAGAGCCAGTTCCAGTTATAGAAAGGCTTGGAAACCTGAAAGTCCCCAAAGGACTCTTAGATACAATGTCACACACCAAGAAACTTCTCCCACCACCTCTTCTCAGCAAGTTCTACAAGTAATAACTGGAAGGAGAGAGGAAGAGGAGACTGGGCTCCTACTTGGGTCTGAACTGCATGCTCAGGCATCAGGGAATTAAAGAAAGTAACATTCCAAACCAAACCAGGTGAAACAAGTTGCAGAACATGCAGCTGTAATGTGTATCACACAAGCTTTAAAAGCAGGATCAATCGGTTTTCCATCACACTTCCAATGAGAATAAACTGATCTATTAAAAAAAAAAAAAGAGTTCCTTTAAAAAGGAACCTCAATACCTAACAACTGTGAAATAGTAGGACTCTAATGTTTTTAACAACCCTAATAACCTGGGAAATCCGTAGGTGCCTCTTAAATGAGCACGCAATTGTGCAAAGAAGTTACGTAAGTCCTAAAATGCTGAAATAAAACCTATGTACACCTGTTTTATTTCTAGATACTGAGAAAAACACAGAAAGGCATATAGGAACTGGATGAGTAATATTTGCACCTGAGCAGCCTCACCTGGGACAGTTCCACCTAGCCACACAGGTTTTTACCAGTCCTGCCCATCTGTAACTGCACTAAACTGAAGCAGAACTTCTAAGTCCCTCTAGCCTGGTACTGAAACATTTAAAAGAAAAGTAGCAGCTTCCAAAGAATAGGTACATGCAACAAATGTTATTTTACTTTATTTGAACACTGTTCGTTTTAAAAAAAAAATCTTCAATTGATGCTTTTTATGTTAATTTCAGCACAAAATTAAATAACATACAAGCTCCCTCCCAAAAAAGTCACTTCTAAATTCACTGTTGGTTAAATTGTATCACTACCAAAAAAAGGGGGGGGGGGCCCTCTTCAAAAGAAAAAAAAAAAACTTTGCCACAAAGAAAAAACGTTAACAATATTTACCTTCAATCTGATTCAAGTTCCTGGCAATACTAAATGATGCGCAACTTACATAAAACGCAACACCTATCTGCACCCCTACTTCGGCAAATGGTCCCTAGCATGACTTAAGGGGAGGAAAAGGAGGAAAGTATCTGATACCCCTTTCCAATCTCAAGACGCATGCATATAGGGCAAACATCTGCACAAGTCGGTGTATTCTTTTAGAAATAAATAATAAAGATTTATTCAAGGGACTCAGAATTTGCAAATATTGTAACACAACTAAACAATACCAAGAGTCTGAAAATTAACATTTTTAAAAATAAATAAAAAACCTTAGAGCAGAGTAAAACGTTAGCCTCCAACATTCATCTCTGAAATAAAACGGGAGCCTAGAACGGGATGTCCGAGAGTCCGCACCACCGCAGGATCGCGAAAAGTCCAGGCCGGGGTCCCCACCTACCCGCCCCCTCCGGTGCCCTGCCTGTACCTCGCCCCAACCCCCGCCCCGCGTCCCCGCGCCGCCGCCCGCACGCACTCACCCCTGGATGCCTGGGCTGTATGCCCGGCTTTTCCACGGAGTGCCGGGCCGTGGCGCCTGAGATCCGGGGCCGCCCCCTCCGCTCAGCGCGGCCGCGCGGCTGCCTGACAGCAGGTAGTTGAGGCCGTACGTGCTGGCCTTGTTCTCCCGTTTCCGGCGGCCCGGGTGGAACTGGTGCTGCGACGGAGAGCCGGCGGGCGCGGGACCGCGCGGCCCGGAGTGCCCGTTGGCCGTGCCGGGAGTGCTGGGCGAGCCGTCAGCGAAGTGGAAGAAGGCACCGCCGCGGCCGCTGCCCGCTCGTCCGAGCGAGGCGCTGCTGGAGGACGAGGAGGAGCAGCCAGGGCTCTCGGTGCCCGACTCGGCGTTGGACGAAGACGAGGACGACGACGACAGCGACGGCGACTTATGTAGGCGCCGAGCACCCTCGGCGGCGGGCCCGAGCGCCGTCAGCAGCGCTGGGGGCAGCGCGGCTGGGCCAGGCGCGGGTGGCGGAGGCGACGCGGCGGGCAGCACGGGCCCGGCCAGGCCGCCACCGCCGCCCAGCCCCGCAGCCCCCGCCGCGGCCGCGGTGTCCAGCGCGGGCGAGTTGAGACAGAAGTAGGACGCGAAGCCTGAGCCGCCGCGGCCCACGCCCTGCGAGGTCTCCCAGATCTGCATCCACAGGGCATTGGCCGGCCCCTTCTGCTCCGGCTGGATCCAGGCCACGCGCGGATCCATCCACGCGCCGCCCCGCGGGCCCGCGCGCCCGCCCGCCCCGCCGCGGCCCCGCCCCCGCCGCGCCCCGAGCCCGGCCGCGCCGTGCAAGGACCGACGGACGGGCTGCGGGTGGACAGACGGGCGGGTAGACGGGCCTGCCTTGCGGTTCCGGCCGGCTCGCAGCGGCGGTTCGCGGGGTTCCGGAGCGGCGCAGGCCGACCCGAGCAGGCCGCGGGTTGGCTCGGGCCTGTCGGGCTCCTTCAGGCGGTGCGGGGCGGGAGCGGGGGCCGCGGCGGCGGCGTTCCACAAGGGCCGCGGGGAGAGGCCATGGGAGAGGGGCGGGCGGCCGGGCCGAGGGGGCGGGCCCAGGCGCCGCGCGGCCCGGGACCCGAGGGAGGGCCGCCGCCGTGCGCCGGGCCCTCAGTCACGCTCGCGCCGCTGGCTCCGTGTTCCTGCAGCGGCGGCAGCGGTGGCGGTGAAAAGACACTCTCGGCGGCGACGGGGAGCAGGAGAAGGAGGGGGCGCCGCCGCCTCCGCTCCAATGAGGGGCGGAGAGGAAACGGGGCGGGGGCGGGGCGGGCGCCGAGGGAGCACGGCCTCCCTTGCGAGGCCGGCACGCCAGTGCGCACGCGCGGGCAATTTCAAACCCTCACTAGACACCGCCGCCTTGGTTACCGCGCCTGCGCAGTGGGTGCTCCTCGGTGCGGGTGGGGAGAGTAGTGCGTCGGAAGGATACTTGACAGGGAGGGGCTGAAGGGCTGGCGGCGGCGGTGGCGGTGGTGGCGGTGGGGACCCTTGTAGCCTAGATATAGCTGCGGTGAGAAAGTATCAAGGAGTCCAGCGCGCCGTCCTTGGCCCAGCTGCATCTGCCGGTCGCACCTCCTACCGATGTGCGCAGGCCGAGACTTGGAGACTTGGACGCTGGGACGGAGTCCTTTTCCTCCTCCAGGCCACGCTGCGCACGCGCAGAAGCAAGAGGCTGCTACCGCTGGGTGGAAGTTTCCGCGCAGTCGGGTGGGGACCTCGGACGCACCCCCGGTGCCGTGTCCTCCGCACGCCCGCCTTACGTAAGGACCCGGCCAGCTTCACTGCGCTGCGCCTGCTGCTCTGGGGAAAAGACCAAAATGCCCCAAGTCCTCTCCTGTCCCATCATCAAGGCTCCGTGTGTAGCTGGTCACGCTACAGTCACTCGTGTCCGTGCCCGCCCACGTGCTCGCCAGCGTTTTACCGGAGGAGACTGTCCCACACCCTGCGGCCTGGGCGGCAGTGCGCCAGAGCAGGACCCGGGGGTGGCCTGACAGTCCCCTTCTCTTCGAGTTACCCTACCGATTTTGTTTGTTTCCTTTTTAAAAAATGGTTTTGTGTGCATTAAACGAAGTTCAGACTTCCAAGTCAGCTCACTGGTGCGATCTCCAGAGCTAAACTTGGCAGTGCGGCCCATCAGAGAACAAGCTCATGTACATAGGTGCGGGGCCTCGTGGCTTCGATTATTCAAGCTGGTACAGCGTTGGCAGGACTTTAATTAGAGAATCACCCAGCTGTCTGCTGTTTGAGTTCCCGGTGTCCAGAGGATGCTGTGAGAGCCTGGTTTGAAAATGATAGTTTGGAATGCAAGGCTAACCACACATTCTGTGAAGTCCAAAGCAAACGCCAGAGTTCATATAAACCTGGACGTGCCATGCAAGCCCAGATGGTACAACGGAGCACCACCGTCCCCACCCCACTCCCTGGCCACAGAGTGACCCCGCCCATTCTGGTCCGAGCCCAGTGAATGCACTCCCTGGCAAGCAACTTCCAAGAAAACAGAGCCAGTCCCTGAAACTGCCTTTTTCCCCAGCGCTGCAGCACGGAGCACTATTGCTTTTAAACATAACCTAAGCAAGGGCTTTTTAATAGCGTTATATTTTAAATGCTCTCTTCCCCGTCTCTACCAGGTGAGTACAAGTGCTTGACGCTTCAAAAATCGTACCAACCTAAAAGATTGTGTGTTGCATACTATGGCTTTTCAGCAAATGGTGTTAATATTTAAAAAATGAATATTTGGGTTAATACGTTTTTCGGTACTTTTATTTTGTACCTGTGGAAATTATGACAAGGATTAGAACATGTGTATTAAATAAACTACGGAAAATCACACAAAGTTCAGTCATTATTCTAGAACTCTGCTTCCATTGACTCAGGCCAGAATCCTTGCAGTCATACCAGGCTCCCCTCTCTCCATAATCAACGTATCTTTTTGGCTCCACCTGCAAGAAAGAGCCAAAACCCAACAGCTCTCCATTCCCTTCATTGTCTCTAAGGGCTGTAGGGGAGAATCTGTTCCTGCTCTCTCTCAGCTTCTAGTGTTGGGGCAATCCTTGGCCTTCCCTGGTGTATAGGTCTAATCTCTAATCTCTGCCTCCTTCATCAATGCGTGGAATTGTTTCTTGTTCCTGGATCTCTTCTTTTGTCATATGGACATAAGGACACCAGTCATACTGGATCAGGGCTCCCTAATGGCCTCATCTTGACTGCATCTGCAAAGACCCTATTTCTAAATGAGATTCCGTTCTACTGGTACCCAAGTTTAGTACTTAAACATATTTTTTGGGGGGATGCAATTCAACCCCTGTACACCATCTGATATAAATTTTACCTTTTTTATTATCCGTGCCACCTCACCCCATTAGAATGTAAGCTCCAAAAAAGAAGAATTTTTATTTGTCCTTTCCTTGCTATGGGTCACCTCGAGGACTGTGTCCTCAGTGAACGCTGGTGGAATGACAAAGAGTCTACTGACTGATCCAATGGGAAGGAAAGCAGGCACTTGCCTTGCCAGCTTCCAGGATCTATTATATGGGTTGTCACTGTTTACTTCTTTTCAACATTTTAAGCTTTTTTGCCTATGGCCTCATGTTCCATCTTTGCTTTTTGCCTCTAGCTAATCTCTGCAGTTTGATTCATCAGCCACAAATCAACTCCTTGTAATTAGATCCGGCATTTTGTTATTTGTATATTTGGTCATCAATCTTTTTATGTAGATTAGAAGCAATATATTTCTTAACATAAATCAAGAAGCACTACTGAGAGTAAAATGCAGTCCCTGAGACTCTGAACAGGGGAGGTCTTTCTCATTGCTTACCTAGTTTCACAGATGAGCCCAGCATTTTTCCATTTTTGACCAAAACCCACTCCTCCCTCTCTCTCTCTTCTCTCTCTCTCTCTCTCTCTCTCTCTCTCTCTCTCTCTCTCACCTTTGTGTATTTATGGAGGAACCATAGAGGAGGAGTAAAATGTAGAGATTACATTATGTTTTTAATGGTTTGTTCTCACGAACAAATGGTTTCCAATGTGCAGCCTACCATGGACTGCCTGCCCCAGAATTAGATACGTTGGTTAGTTAAAATGCAGATATCTGGGGCTCACCTGACTTACAGGCCAACACACAATTCCATCCCACGTCCCAGTTGTTAGAACGGAGACTCGTGGCCCCACCCAATGGGAGGGATGCTAGTAAATGTAGCTGAGTTGAGAGCCCAGAAGAGAAAGGAAATGGGTCTGACTAACACAGCACTGACTCTGCCGCAAAATGTTTTGGAGGTAAAATCATCAGAGCCCCATAATTGATTCCACACTAAGGAAGGGGAGAATCCGGAGAGTGTCCAGGTTTCCACCAAGAAGCTTGGGGCAGGACACCCTGGATGGTCAACTCAAGAGCCACTGCTTTAGCAAAGAAGACGGTAGGTATATTTTAAAAGCACCACAGGACTCCTAGCACTTACTGCCAGTTTTACTGTGTGACCTGCATTCCATTTACAGGAGAAATGCTTCTATATAGAGAGAGAAGCATAGAGAGAGAGAGAGAGAGAGAGAGAGGCTTACTCTGCCTCAGCAGATGGAATTGTGGTGGACATGGTTGAAGATAGGGATCCCATTTAAATGCATATAATAGTATCATATAAATGAATATAAATCTATGATGTAAAAGACATTGTGAAACTGGAAAATTTTCATTTTTCAGTATTTCATTCTTATCTAGTAAAGGTCCCTTCACTTTGTTATTTCTCCTTGCACCCTTACAGCAAGAAGACTTCCTGTTTGCACACCAGCTCCTCAGCTGATACTGCCATCCCAGACACTGCCTGCAGCCAGAGGCCCCCCTGGGCTGCTGTCCCCCTCTCCCACTGAGGTCATTAGCAGTCAGCCCAAACCTTACTGCCGGAGCCCAACGTGTTAAGTAAGCTATGGCTCTGTACAGGGAAGCAGTTCCAGGTAAACAAGCCCTGACTGTCTCATGGAGTTTGCTAAAATTTCCCTCTGTTTTAGGATTTGAATCAGGGCATAGCCCATTCTCAAACTCAGATCTGTTTCTTTAGTTAAGAACAGAGACTGCAGAGCCAGTTTACTTTGCAATCACTCTGCCATTTCCTGACTCTGAGGCCTTAGGCAAGCTGATGAACCTTGAAGACCTCAGTTTCCTTATCTGCAGAATGGGACAATAGCTGTAACTTACACTTAGCACTGAGTGAAGACATAAAGGGCTTACCAGAGTGACCAGCGCACATCACCCATCCTACAGCTGTGTTTCTGATGTTATTTCTCTGAGGTTCTTAAGGAAGCTAAAATTCTCTTTGTATCTTTTGTGTCCTGCTTATCTCCTCCTCTAATTAGCAGGAAGACATAGTGCTGCTCTTGGTCAGGCTCCAACTTCCATGTTGATGGAATTGAATATCTTACTGCTCCCTGGGTCTAATGAACAGATTAATTTTTCTATTCCTCTAACTATTCCCTACGCTCAGCTGAACCTTCTGGGTGTGTTTTCTTCTGTTGCGCACACTGGAACATAGAAGGGAGGCTGGAGGCATCGCTCGTTCTTTATCATGCTAAACCTTCACTCAAGTCATAAGCTTCTGTACCTGACATTTGACCAGCCAGAGGCAAGAGCACACTCAAGGCCCTTAGACATGTGTGTCTTGCATCACAGGCCAGGACTAGAGGTGAGCCCCTCGAACAAGATGGAATTTACTAGTGCACTATGTGAAAGGTAACTAACTGGGCAGTGGAAGAAGGCAGGCAGGAAACCAATCTGGAGCTAGGGTCAGGCTACAGGAAGAGACAGAGGTACTAGAACGGGGTCAGGAAGAGGGTGAGGATTCAGGGGGACCACTGGCCACAATCAGCATGGAGTTTGAAGGCAGAGTCATCAGGATCAAATAGGGAGTGAGGCAAAGGGAAGAAAAAAGGGTCCATCGCAGGTTAGTGGCCTGAGCGACTGAAGGAGGTCTTCCGCTACCCAGGTGGAGCATGCCGAGAGGAGCAGGAAACAGTCCCTTTTGCAGTCATTAGGTTTGAGACATCCCTTGACATCCTGGAGAGAGATTCTAGAGGCAGCTCGATGCCCAAGTCCTGTGTTTGGAAGACAAGTTGGTCTGGAAAGGCATGTCTGGGAGTGAACACTTTCCTGCTGGCTTGTAACCTGCAGCTTTGGGTG